CACACTTCGAACTTGGGTTTTCAGTTAGACTCAATTGCCACGTTGAGAAGTAAGGTGAGGGAACGGAAAGGTGCATAGGTCGGCAAAACAGTATGGTTTAAAAAAGGTTTCCAAAAAGGCCTCGAAGTCGATCTGTACATGCGGTGCGGTGACGAGCGCAGCTGCAGGAAAGTGGGTTTAGGGGAGGAAACGTGAAGGACCATGGAAACAAACCGATCAAAGTGGACAGCTTGTTCAAAAGTTCATTTGGCAGGTACGTGACTCCAGCGTCCCGGAGTCATTTCACAATCTCAAACCACCGTCTTCGTTGGGCAGTGGATGGAATGAGATTCACTGCCCCCCTGCACTCAAACACTCTTAGTTACAAAAGTGGAACCCTTAGAAACAGGGGGTGACACACACACACACACGCCTCCCCCAGGGGAGGCGAGAAGCACTAAGGTCAGGGCAAAAGTGTGAGTGCGCGCGCAGTAAGACAAAAGAATGAAGACATGAAGAGGAGACAAGACGGGACAAAAGTGTGTGTGTGTGTGGTTGCAATGAAAAGGAACCAAGTGCACAGGAACAACCGATGACAACCCACCTCATTGTAAAGACCTGGGCGACCTGAAACCTAATTTGAAGGTAGGTTGTGCATGTACACACTAAGGGCCGGGCAGTGTGCACGCAAAAGAAGGAAAGCAATGAGATGACAGTACATGAAGCAAGGGAAGACATGAAAGAAAAGAAGAAAAAAGATGTGTGAAAAGGGGAAAACGATGAAAAGGGGAACCAAATGGAGGGGGCCGGAACCGATGAAGCCAAACCTCATTACAACGACCTAGGAAGACCTGCCTCGTTTGAATGTACACACTGTATGTGCACCCAAGGTCTCGACAGGTTCCAACGAACCTTAAACTTGCTTTGACCGCTGTGGTCACCTTCTGCCCTGCCAAAGTGGCTGGCTGCTTTGACCGCTGCGGTCACGTAAAGGCATGAGCCAACTTGCAATTCAATAATTCGTCAAGTCTTGGCAAATAACTTTGGCATGAGCCTCCTACGCCCGCTCTGGGCACGTACATCTCCGGGCAGGGGAGATAACGACAGACACCCGTTCGACGGGTCCACGGGAGGCACTCTACGGGCCCATCCCGGACTCTCACTGGGAGAGACACACTTATGGATGTGCGTACTGACTTGACAGCGGTGCCACACGCCAGCCTAGGTTACCATTTCCTAAGAGTACAGGTAAAACCTAATGGAGGCTGGGGGTCTTCAAACGGAAGTGAGGCCCAAAGCGCAAGCACCAAATCGACGAGTTCGGATCGACAAGATGACGAACTAAAAGGAATAAATGGCCACCAGCTGCGTCTTACAATGCACCCAGGTGCACCAAGCAGGTACGTTTTCACGACAGCTTGGATGGGTCTTCGTTGGCCCATGCCATCCAAGATCATCCAAGTGTCCGTGGGCCCCCTGCTGGAAAAACAACAGCAAACAATCCACATGGATCCCTGTGATTACAAGGGGTACACACACATATAAGAGATGGGTAACGAACTGCATCAATAGGACAGAAACTGAATGAAGTTTCCCTAAACATCTATATAGGCCAAATGAATAGTAGAAGCGTATAGAAGCGTGAGCTATCCTGCGTCCATGCTAGTAGACTCTTACTTGCAAGGTACTAGCTACCTCTCCCTACTAGCTACCTACCTAGCTACTACCTCTTCCTCTTCTACCTACGGCCTACCCTCTAATTTTAAACATAGAAAACAACAAACAAAACGTTTGCAACTAAATTGATACTTGGCCAAGCAACGAGACCTCAGAAGCCAACGATCCACCCATGACGGACGGACCCGGCGATTCTTGCGCCCGTTCAAGAGGTTACTTATCCAATGTGTTCTGAGTCGGGTGAAGGCACAAGGAAACACCAAAGGAAGACTTCATGGCCCTGATGTCAAGGTCAGTAAGTGTGGCATTCAGTAGCAGTGCTGCAGTGCTCAATTGCCTGTTAGGTGCAATAAGATTCAATAACACATCCGTGGTTGAAACAAACGGCCCTTGAAGCTCCCGTGTGCTTTTTGTGAAGTAGTATTAGTGTGAATGTCAACATGCTCAGAGCCAAATCCGAGCGAAAGTTCCGATGCCGACACAGTGGGCACTTGGCTACACCGGTACACCGAGCTGCTTGGCTGTGCGCGTGGCCTTTACGGGGCTCCCAAATGCTTCCAAGGTGGCGCCGGCATTTTGTCTCTGCAGCAGTGACATTGCGACAATGAACCTTGTAGCTTGTGGTTCCAATTCTAGTTAGATTCCAATTCTAATTCTTGTTTCTAATGGCATCCTTGTTCCAGGTAGTAAGGCCAGGAGCCCCTAGTAGCGTCCCTATTCCTAGTAGTAAGGCCAGGAGCCTCTAGTAGCGCCCGTGCTCCTAGTAGCGATGCCCTTTGGTTAATGGGTTGTCTTAACAGTCTAAGCAAGAGTCATGTCGTTGAAAAACATGGACTGGACACTCAAGAGTACACCATTGCTAAAGGTGCAAGCACCCTTTCTTTCACGGGCTGTTTGGAGGCTGTGCCACCACGCAATGCACAAAGTCAGAGGCCCACTGGCTCAACACTCCGGAAAGCTGCTGAGACCCTTCAGTATATCAGCTCTCCCAATGTCATGACCTGCAGAAAACTCTTCACTCAAACCAGGGCCAAGAACATCTGTCGGGTCGTGAAACTGAAGCCCACACATATGGCCAGTTGCTTCTCGAACAACAAACCCGTGATCAACATCGATCAACTTGTTAAACTGCATGTGTCGCCTGGAGCCTAGAATGACTGAACTAAAATCCAAGTACTGTACAGAATGTTAGCTACTAGGAACAAAGGGCATCGCTACGAACGGAGCAAGGACGCTACGAACGGGGCTCCTGGCCATACTACTAGGAGCAAGGACGCTACTAGGGGCTCGTGGCCTTACCACTAGGAGCAAGAAGCTACTAGAGCCATGAACCCGTTAAGTTTGCAGTCATCAACAACCAATGAATTTGCTGACCTGAAATTTGCGAGTGGATCTTAATCAGCGAAGTTTGAAGCTATCACTGACGGTCCATAAGCGGCGTAGCGTCGGAACGGAAATCGCACCTTTTCTAGTCGCTTGATCCTTGAGCCAAAGTACATATGGTACATATATATGTACAAGTTGCACTGTACGTGTCGCTGCACTTCCATTCGCACCCCCCATGTGAACGGCAACAATATGTTCCGATCACACACGAAAATTTAGGGATGTAAGTGCTACAAAAGAAATTGTATGATTTGCCGCGAGACTCATATGAGGCTCATACTACGAAACATGCTGGACTAAAGCGGACTTTTACATATAAAGTGTGCAACTATGGCTCAGAACCTATGAAAATCGAATTGAACAAGTGAGACAGTCACGAGGCCTCGCTCAGTATCCACTCAAAAGAGCATCGCTTTGATGTAGATCCGAACTGGTGACTTCCACGTAGATGTCACATCGGCAACTGACTTCACACTTCTCAAAAGATGTAGGTTTTGATTTGGATACACTTACAGAACGGCAAGTCGGAGAGACAGTCGGTGACTGTCTGCCTTCTATTATGCTCATGGTATCAAATCGTCAATCCGATGATTTGCAATGATACACTTACAGCGTTTCAGATCAGATAGACATCCGGTGAATGACTTCCTCCCTGGTTTGCATGGTATCCTCATAGTCGTTCAAAGAAATCACCACTGGCGATAACCTCTCCATCCACGATGATCCCAGCTGCCCTGAGCATCCCACCGATCATCTTCTCCCTTCTTGGACTTTCCCTTGGACTTGCTCTTTCCCTTCCCCTTTTCAGAAGGTTGAGGTACTTCGCGACGTTCTTGCGTTAGCGCCGGCCTCCAAGATGTTCCAGATTGGCCTCCTCCTTTGGAATGTCCTCGGGATGATGAAGAAGTTGTACCTTCTGCTGCATGTGCGTTGGCGGCAAGATCTTCCTGCAAAGCTTGCTCAAACACATCGGTAGCACTGGATGGTGATTTATCATGTGGTCTGGCTTTTGGAGCAGCCTTCGCCTTGTTCTCCTCTGCTGATGATGGCCCGAAACTCTTAGGTGCTGTTGAAGGTTTTGGCTCCTCACTTGGTGCTGACGACGGTTTGGCCTCGGTTCTGGGTGTAGATGCTGGCTTTGCCTCAGCTCTTGGCGAAGATGCTGCTTTCGCTTCAGACTTAGTCGTTGATGTTGACTTAGCTGTTGCCTTGGCTGCCTGCTTCTTCTTGCCCTGAATCTCCTTGGCCCTATCTCCAAAGCCTAAACGATTGGTAAGAGCTTGAACATGCTTATGTTCTACCACGCTCATCCATCTCTCTGTATGTCCAACGTTGGGGTTTCTGGCCATTGACTCTATGACTTCCTGAGCTTGTGGGGGCAACCTGATCTCATGTTGATCAATGATCAACAGAATAGACTTCTCCCACTTGCTCTTCATTCTCGAGTACATGATGTCCAGAGGATCGATCACCTTGTGGTTGGGTGATGTAACGTCGGTTCTAAAGTAAGAATATGTCCGACAACCATAAATCGCATGGATGCACTTCTGTACCAATTCAGTCATTGCGCTGGCTTTCTTCGCTTTCAACTCCTCAAGCTGGGCATCAGTCAAGTCGGTGGAGTGTTCGAAGTTGCCATATCCCTTCTTGAAGGATTGCGGAGTATGACCAAATGATAGGATCACGAGTGCCACCTTGCAAATGAATTGCTCTCCTCTGAATCGGTGCCAGGCCTCCTCAGTCGTAATATTGTTGTCGTTGGCAAAGATTAACATCATGTCATCTGTTGGATCCAATGGTCTCCCATCGTCATCGATTTCAGTGGAATCTCCTGTACCGAACTTGCTTATCACATCCAGACGCTTCCTTTTCCAATTTGCTTTGAAGTCGGTAAGGCTGGTGCAATAGTAGCTCTTGTACATCAGGGAGATCATGTTCAGCACACATTTGACCACATACCTATCCATCAAACCCGATGCTTTCACGGAGACGTCCTGACAGTAGGCTCTCTCTTGATGCGCATAGATTCGAGGTTCCGGTACTCGACAATAGATGGGGAGATCTTCGTTGTCTCTTCCTTCTTCGGGATTGAACTCGGTCGCTCCATGCTGTGCATAGTATCCCGGTTCATCACGATCTGTCGGTCGATTCGCCTCCGGATGTAAGTCGTCGGTGACGTCTTCATCCTCGGGCTCACCATCTTGACGTTTCTTCCCCTCATATTGTTGTGTGCTCCTCTGGATCTCGATGATCACGTTTCGTTCGTCTTCATCTTCTAGATCAGAATCACGACCGTAGTCGATCTCGTCCTCATTGAAAGATGGGGTCTCGACATTGTCACTCTTGAAGTTTTCTGCACCATCAGACGGTTTGGAAGGATCTAGATTGTCCATGTCCTCGTCGTCGTCAGCTGCTTCAGTTTGAGCGATGTCTTCTTCCCAAGCCTTTCTGATCTCGTCCATAGTGGCCTGGTCCAAGATATCTTGATCATCATCTTCAGGCTCCTTCTCTTCCTTCTTTTCCTCTTCATCGTCGCTCACAAGATCAACGGGTGAATCGGAAATGACAGTGTTGCGAATACCACACGAGAGTAGCCTGCCTTGACAAGATAGGCACACGGACAAAGATGAAGAAGTCAAATGCATACATGATGGACACAAAATATTGCCATCCACGTTGCGATACCCTTCACATGTTCTGGAGATGATTTCGTCCCAAGTTTCCTCACTGATGGAATCCTCGATCAGCTCTCCATTGTCATCGAATTGTACTTCATCGATAAGGGACACGAGCTTTTGGACGTTGTCATCTGTCGCCGAGGCTGACTTCGTGACTTCGTCGGCTCTCTCGAGGATGGTATGCTTCTGAGCAACCCAAAGTCCATGATGTGCCGCTAGAACAACTTGCTCTCCAGTGCTTCCCAGCAGGAGTCTCCTCCATGCCTGAACGTAGTCGTCCCAATACCAAGCACCTCGTACACATCTCCATGGAACTTCTCTAAAAACAACAGTGTAGGAATTCTCCGAAATTCTTCCCCCAAGCTTCCTCAAAGTCATGATCGGAACATAAAGGCAAACGGGCATTCCCACTCTTGGCCATCTTGATCTCAGAATCTTTGATGATCGATCATCCCACGGCGCAAAGTGGTTGAAGAAAACACTACCTCTATATCCCTCCGTTCCACCAGGGACAATTCCTATTTTCATGATTGACTCAATATTGGAAAGCGATGTCATGTGAAAGCTTCCTCCAAGCTGCATTGCCACATTCTCTGGAATGAGATGTGAAGTCCACACAGGATATATTGACACATCCTCTTCAAGAACAGTCTCTCTTCCAGAATTGTGAGAGGCAACAGCTCGAATTGCACAAGGAACGATCCAACGTTCATGCTTCAGAAATGACGGTGCGTCTGTGCTGTAAAACATGAGGTTTGCCCAGTATTGCCTTTCCTCTTCGAGTGAGACATCCTCCTTTGAGATGCGAATGGCGGCAATCTGATAGCGTACTCTGTTCTGCAACTTCTTTGCATGCCACATCGCCTTGCATAAATACTGGTATCGCTCTGTCTTGACATCTTGACGATGCCGATCACCTGAGATAGTACTGATATCGACACCATCGTTGAAGACATGGTCATATTCCAGGATCTCATCGATGTTCACCCATCCACCCTCATTGCACTTCGGGGACACATGAGGTTTTCGACCGCGGTGCGATTGAATCCCGTTATGCTTTCCCACTCCATGCCTGAGTAGTCTATTGAGTCTATGGCTAACCTCGTTGACCCGCTGACTCTCCTTGCTGAACTTGTCGATGCGAGTTGCTGGGTTCATCTTTGGTGGATCCGTGAAAGTTGCATCTCTCTTCGGTCCATTCCAGTACTCCACATAGAATGTAACTCCATACTGTGGAATTATCTCGATGCTTCCTCTATCGCAAGTCACCTCAATCTGCCGATATCCAACCTTTTGAACTTGTTGTGGGTCAGGAGCAAGGTCCTTCACTTTGGGCATCTTTATTCCGAGTGCTGCAGCCTCCTGAATAAGTGCATCAAGTTCCCACTTTCCATTAGGACCTGATCTATCAACCCTGTGATTTGCGACCCTGTACTCTCCTCCTTCTTTGTCATCGGCAATGTCAAAGAGGTCGACGGGCTCTTTGAATCTGGTGACGAAACTGGCGTTCCCAAAGGCCTTCTTGGTTGCCTCGACCGCTTTCGCGTATTCCTCTTTTGCAGAGTCTGACGAGTGTGGTCTACCTTTGGCTCTCGGAGAGTGAGGTGGTACCTTACCTCCTAGTTCCGGTTCTTCTTCGGGAAGTTCAATATCTTCATCATCCACATCCATGTAGTCCTCGTCTTCGACGTCTTTGGATGACTTTGCTTTCCTCTTTCGGCTTTCAACATCACGTCGGATGATTGCCTTGTCGTCCTCGGTGAAGCACTTGCGCATAGTGTCCTCCATGTGAGAGAATGAGTTCATCAACTCGTCCTTCTTCTCAGTGTTGGGACAAATAGCCAGGTGATGTTGGTTTGAACCACAACAATAGCACACCTTTTGGCTCACTGCGCGTGCTCTGACCCTTCTGAGGTTGTCATAGGCGGTTTTCCAGT